CGTAGTTTCTCAAAATCTCTGTTGATAGGACTTAGCATGTGGTCTGTTAGTAGAATGCCATCTCATCTAGTCTCCATAGATAAGTGTTTAAAAGTCTTAGGGAATGACTGATTGCACTGTATATATTAGGCTGTGGAGGCAGGCACTTCAGTTCATAAGAGAACATTTTCATTGTTCTGAGTAATTATTACCTATGTGTTAGCATCACCTGAGGAGCATGTATTTAAAAAAAAAAAAAAGATTCCATTTGGATTGTGTAAGGATTGATCCTAGATGTTGCATAGGTTATAAAAGCTCACTAGTGAATCTAACGTGCACCGTAGTTGACAATCACTCCTGTAAAGGAGCAGCATTAGGACCGTCCATGAATGATTCACTGAGAACAGAAGCTGTTATCTTCTAACCAAGAAATCTCTGGAACTATTTAATATTCATATTTTCTTTGCTTATTTCAGACCATAATTTCTTCAAGGTTAAGGGCAGTAATGGCTTTGTTTAATATAAATCATATGATATCCATCAAAGGACCATGTATAATTTGTTACTTCATGGATTAGTTTGAGGATATTAAAAAGAAAAAAAAAGGACTTCAGTATCTGTCATTTTTTTTTTTCCTATTAATTTTACCATTTTTTCTGATGCAGAAATACATGAGCAGTGGATATTTATTAAGATAAGAACAATTAATTTTGAGACTAACAGGAGTTTTTAAGTATGAAAAAAACCTACACTGAAAGGTAGATCCGAATCTTACCTCATGGAAATTATAATAAAGTTATCTAGTCCTATTAAATATTTTTTTTTACATTAAAGGCCCATTTAAACCTCAAACAATTCACATGCCCAGTAACAGAGAATTGTTTAGCTCAGATATGACACTCGGATACAATGGAATACTATACTGCCATTAGAAATTATGTAGAAAACTACTTAATGATATGGAAAGCTGATCTTAGTTAGTATGCATGTCAAAAGGCCCAAGTTAAAAAAAAAAAAAAAATCCATGTACGGTGAAATGTGTTACTTTTTTAATTTTACTAAATTATACATATAGGAAAGTACATGAATCTTAAACATACAGCTCAGTGAGTTATCACAAATGCCTTCCTCCTTCCCAGAAGTAGCCGACAGATTTCTAACAATGTAGATTGGTTTGGCCTATTTGTAACCTTATATAAATGGAATCATACAGCATTCCTTTGTGTCTGACTTCTTTTGCTCAACATTGCAAAAGGCCAAACCAGACTCACTGCTGTCAAGTCGATTTCAACTCATGGCTACCCCTCCTTGAGTTTCTGAGGCAGTATCTCTACAGAAGTGGATTGCCCAGTCTTCCTTCCAAGGAGTGGCTGGTGGGTTTGAACCGCCAATGCTCAACATTAGGAGATTAAATCATGCTTTCATCTATAATTCAGTCATTTTCATTGTTGTAGGGTATTTCATTGCATGACAGTCCCACAAGGTATTTATCCATTTTAGTGTTTCCAGATTCTGGCTGTTATAAATAAAATACTTTATGCATATTCTTATAGATTTCTTAAATATCATTGCTTTATTGTATGTCTTGAGATCTGGTAGAATAAGTTCTCCCACTGTCATATTTTCATTATACTTAGCTCTCATTTTCATTGAGATTTCTCTTGACCTGAATGTAATTTAGAAATGAATTGCTTGATTTCCATACCAGTGTGGATTTTCTAGTTATCTTTATTGTTGGAAACTTCTAGCTTCATCTACTGTTGTCAGAACATGCTGTGTGTGATTTCAGTCCCCTGAAATTTCCTGGACTTGCTTCATGGCTCACCCCTTGGTCAATGTGGACAAGTACTGTGTGCTGTGAAGAATGTGAACTCTGCTTGTTATGTTCTGCTTCCTTAGTTTTTCTGTCTACCTTTTTTGTTTGGTGCTGAGGCAAGATAGTTTTCCTACTTTGTGTATTTTTTTTTCTTTCTCCTTTTACTTCTATGAGTTTTAGTTTCTATATCTAAGGCTGTGTCTTTGAATGCATACAGACTTAGAATTGTTATCTGTCTGATGAATTATATCATGAACTGACCTTTATCTCTGGGAATGTGTTTTGCTTTAAATTGTACTTTGGTACTAGCTGGTATTGATATAGAATATATCTTTTCCTTTCAGTCGTCTCATATTTAAGGTGTATTTCTTGCCAGTATCATATGATTAGTTTTATTTATTTTTTATCCATCATGATACTTTTTTAATTGAAGTAATTAATGATACATTTGGGTCTAAGTTTTCTGTCTTACTGCCTTCTGTTTGTCCTGCTTTTGCATGTTCTCTTTTGCTTTTTTGCCCTCTTTTGGTTTGAGTGCCTTTTGCTATTTCATCTCTTTCCCTCTACTAGTTTGATAGTTGTATATTCTTTGACTGTTCTTTCTGTGGTTATCCTAAAGGCATTGGTGGTTCAGTGGTAGAATTCCCTCCTTTCTTGCAGGAGACCTGGGTTTGATTGCCAACCAGTGTAATTTGGCACAGTTACCACCTGTCTGGTGGTGGATTGCGTGTTGCTGTGATGCTGAACAGGTTTCAACAGAACTTCCAGACTAAGATGAATTTGGGAGAAGGCCTGGCAGCTACTTCAGATTATTCAGCCAAGGGAAACCCTGTGGTTCATAATGGTCCAGTCTGCAGTGATCAGGGGAATAGCATAGGACCAGACAGTGTTTCATTCTGTTGTACATGGGGTTGCCATGGTTAGAGGCTAACTTGACAGCAGCTAACATCAGCAACCAGAAGTGATTACCCTACAGAGCATGACACACATCCTTGACTTATCAAAATCTAATATGAACGAGCACTTTACCGTTTCCTGGTCAGCACAGGGACCTTAGAGTACACTGTGCATGTGGTAGCGTAGTGCCTAAGGCATTTGACTGCTAACCAGAAGGCTGGCGGTTCAAACCCACCAGCCACTCCTTGGAAGGAAGATGGGGCAATCTACTTCCATAGTGATACTGCCTCAGAAACCCAAGGAGGGGTTGCTGTGAGTCAGATCTGACTTGACGGCAGTGTGTTTGGTTTTTGGTCTGGTGCATGTTTTCATTTTGTGTATTTTTGAACCCACAAAACATCATTGTTTTATGCCATCTACTCACTAATTTTCCTTTCCATTGCTCTTACTACATTTTCAAGCTTTCAGGGACAATTTCCTTCTCCCCAGAGAATACCTTTTAGTATTTCTTTTACAGCAGGTTCATTGGTGATAGAGTCAGTTTTTGGTTATCTGAAAATGTCTTTATTTCACTTTCATTTACAACGGGTAATTTAGACTTAGAAGAAGACATTTTTAGTTTAAAAAACTGTGTTAATTAAAGCAGAACAAGAGCTTCAGTAGTTCCGACTAAATCTTCACCTTGTGGAGCCATTAATAGAAACCTTTCTACAATCTTTTGTTTCTATTAGGTCTAATTTTAATTGGATACCACACTCTTGCCTAATTTTTGTTAACTTTCAGGTTGGTCTGGGACAATTGCATCTGCATGGGGGACGTGGAGTAGAACAAAACCATCAGGTAAATTCCCAGCTCCTAGGGCTCTGCCCTTCATGTTGCAGCAAGAAATGATACTCCAGATGTATTTCTTACTGAATCAGTGTCAGTATTAACCTTGTGTTATTTACATTCTTATTGAATGAGAGGTAGCAGTTGTTAGAGGAGACTGTTCTGAAGAAAAGTGAGTGACATTTGAGACTGGCACTAAGATCATTCCAGGCCAAAAAGAACAGTATCTGCCTCACCTCTGAAACAGGTAGAAACATGAAGAAGACAGAAAGATGAATCAGTGCTGAGATAAGTAATGTCTGAGCATGTCAATATATTTCCTGGAACACTTCAAAGGCTACAAAGACCAGCATGTTCAGATTTAACAGCAGTAACTTTGATTGCTATGTGGGGAGTGAATTAGAAGCCCTCAAGAATAAATGCAGCAAGATGAGGGGGGAAGTATTCCAGAAGTTCAGTTGAGAGATATACAGCTTGAACTAGAATTGTATTCATGGAGGATAATGTATGAGTTCATGATGTAAAAGCAATAGGACTTGGTGATGGATTAAACATGAGACTGAGAGAGGATGGAGTGTCTTAATCAACCAGTAGATGGTGTTGCCATTTACTTGAATTGAGATATTAGAGTAAAAGCAAGCTCAGATCAGAGAGAAATTTCAGTTGTGGGTATTTGGAGGCAGTTGAATATTCTGGTTTGGAACTGACACTATAAATTTAGGAATTGTCACCATCTAGATGGTGTACATCAGAGTTTTATCCTTTGACTGTACTTATTCAGTCTATATGCTGAGCAAATAATCTGAGAAGCTGGACTATATGAAGCATCATGATTGGAGGAAGCCTTAGTGCCTAAGGCCTTTGACTGCTAACCAGAAGGCTGGCAGTTCAAACCCACCAGCCACTCACTCCTCAGAAGGAAGGTTGGGCACTCTACTTCCGTAGTGATACTGCCTTGGAAACCCAAGGAGGGGTCACTATGAGTTGGATCCAACTCAGTGGCAGTGAGTTTGTTTTTTTTTTTTTTTTAATTATTAACAGCCTGTGCATGCAGGTGACACAACTTTCCTTGCTGAAAGTAAAGAGGACTTGAAGCAGTTACTGATGAAGATCAAAGACTATAGCCTTCAGTGTGGATTTTACCTCAACATAAAGAAAACAAAAATCCTCCCAACTGAACCAATAAACAACATTATGACCAATGGAGAAAAGATTGAAATTGTCAAGCACTTCATTTTACTTGGTTCTACAATCAGTACTCATGGAAGCAGCAGTCAGGAAATTAAAGGAGGCATTGCATTGGGCAAATCTGCAGCAAAAGACCTCTTTAAAGTGTTAAAAGAGCAAAGTTGTCACTTTGAAGACTAAAGTGTGCCTGATGTAAGCCATTGTCTTTTCAGCTGCCTTATATGCATGTGACAGCTGGACAGTGAATGGGGAAGACTGCAAAAGAATTGATGCGTTTGAATTATGGTGTTGATGAAGAATATTGAACATACCATGGACTTCCAGAAGAATGAACAAATCTGTCTTGGAAGAAGTACAGCCAGAATGCTCCTCAGAAGCAAGAATGGCCAGATTTCATCTTTTGTACTTAGGTTGTGTTGTCAGTAGGGACTAGTCCCTAGAGAAGGATACTATGATTGATAACGTGGAAGGTCAGTGAAAGGGAGGAGGACCCTCAGCAAAATGGATTGACGTGGCTGCAACAATGGGTTCAAGCATGGCCATGAGTGTGAGGAAGCCACTGGACCAGGCAGTATTTCATTGTGTTGTACATAGGGTCGCTATGATTTGAAACCAACTCAACAGCACCTAACAATGACAGCAGATGCTCAGTGATGCCATGGAAGGGAGTAAGTTTTCTAAGAGAGCATAAAGTGAGAACAGAGTCCAAATTTCAGCACTGAGGAACTGTACTATTTCAAGTAGAATAAGAATCCTAAGAATAAGACTTAAGTGCTACAGGTAGAGATAGGTAGGATAGCAGGAGAGAGTGCCATCTTGTAAGCCACGCTGAGAGTCTTTGAGGAAAGAGTGTCAGCTGTGTCAGATGCTACAGAGACAGATGAAGTAAGGTAAGAGAAAATACTTACTGGTTTGGGCAATATGGAGGTCACTGGTGACCTTGGAACTGTTTTGTTGACGTTTGTTGTGGATTCCAATTGGGATTTGATTGTGGAATGAATGGGAGTAAGGAATTGGAAACAGAGCATGTAGGCAATTCATTCCAGGAGCTTCACTATGAAGGAAAGTAGCTAACAAATGGCAGTCATTGTTGAAGGGAAATTGAGGTCCAAAGGAGAGATGAGTCTCAAGTGTTTTGGTATTGGTTTTATTTTCAATAACAAGATTACTAGCCTTTGTTTCAGAAGGAAGATGTCAGAAAAGGAGAGAGGCTAAATCTGCAAGGGAAGGAAAAAAATCAGTGGAACAAAGTCCTTAACAAAGATGGACAATGCAGTTGAGACTTGTGTTAATAAATTTATACTGACGTCAGTGTGTTTAGTTGTGATTTTAAGTAGACTGATGATCTTTCCCTAAATAGTGTGAAAAAGGAAAATGTCTTTATTTAGATAACTATGAAAATATGTTCTGTGCCTTTTAAAGACTACTTAGTTTCTCCTTCTCTGCCGGGTTACTAGTGGAGAGGTAGAGAAAAGAAGTCAAGCTGCTCTTAGATGGCTTTTAAGCAGCCCGATGCTCACTTTGCCTATAAATATCTGAAGTTTTCTTGCCTCTTAAGTTCAGGAAACACAAAACATTTCTTTGCATCTGTTACTGTGTAATGACTTAATGATAAGTGGTACCTTGGTGTGCTATCTGATGAAACTTTGGAGTTATGCTGATTTCTGTGTTGAAATTATTTCCATAAATTTTTTTCTTACAGAGAGCATTTGACTACTTCAATTTAGCAGCAAATGCTGGCAATTCACATGCTATGGCCTTCTTGGGAAAGGTACTGTAAGCCTGTGGATATATTATGCAGTAGGGAGAGGTCTTGGCATAGTAAACACATACTGTATTCAGGATCTACAACTTAAAAAAATTAATTGGAAATAAAATTTCCAATCCAAGGATGTTATATCTTATGGTAAATGCTGTTCTCAGGCATTTTCTTAAGTGAGTTAAGCGTACATAACTTGCCCACCAAAATGTTGATTCTCCATTGCATATCTTTCACTGTGTGTGCTCCTAGTTCTTTGAATATTTCATTGAATAATGAAGTATTTATTCTTACATTCTGCAATTTTGTTGTTGTTGTTGTTGTTTAATCTGTTAAAGCTGCCTGTTTCCTTCTATGGTGGATAGAGGTAGTTAGTGTTTGTTTGGGATGCCTAGGTGGCATAAATGATCAAGAGCTTGAAGACTAACCCAAAGGTTGTTGGTTCCAACCCATCTAGAGGCTGCTCAGAAGAAAGACCTGGCTCTCAGCTTCTGAAAGGTCACAGCCTTGAAAACCATATGGAGCACAGCTCTCCTCAGCCACACATAGGGTTGCCATGAGTCAGAATCGACTCAATGGCAACCAGTAGTGTTTGCTGGACTATACCTGCAGGCCTTTGAATTGCCTTAAATTCAATATGATAGCCATCACTCACTTCTCAGTCCAGTTCTCTTCTCGAGCAAGAAAGTATTTAAGTCTTTAGACTTAATGAGTTAGTTGCATGTATCATGGCACAATTTCAGAACTTTTTCCTTCATTGTGCAAATCATTGAGTATTTTCATCTACAGCCATATTCTAAGGTAAAAAAGTTTAGATGGAATGTATTGTAAAGGTTTTTACAAATTAGGGAAGTCTGATCATTACTTGTTAATTGGGGCCTGACAACCACTGTACATAGAAATTGGTATATCCCCATCTGTTTTTGTTAAGTATTAACAACTTTTCATCGCAGCCCTTCTGGTTCTTGCTTTGAATTACTAGTCATCTCTAGGTCGAAAAATTATTTCCCTTATCTATAATTTCTTTAATGTGTACATGGATAAAAACAAAAGTGGTTGATCTGTTTTCCTTTCCCTTAGCCCTTTATTGTGTTACATACTTGGTAATCTAAATGTTCAGTGTTTGAAATTTTTAAACTTTCAGTTATTTTCCTGAATCTAAGACCCAACCTTTTATCTTTTCCTGGAAATAAATATCCAGAAGAGATGTGATGGGAGAAAATTAAAGTGGGGAGAGGGTTGTAGCTCTTAATGAAATTGGGGTCTGTTTTCCAGATGTATTCAGAGGGAAGTGATATTGTACCTCAGAGTAATGAGACGGCCCTTCACTACTTTAAGAAAGCTGCTGACATGGTAAGACATCATGATACAGTGTATTGCAATATACACCAAATACTATTACTTTAAGGAGACTTGCTGGGACCACAGTTAAGTGCTCAGCTGCTATGAAAGGTTGGCAGTTTGAACCCACCTGGTGGCTCTGACTCTGCTGGAGAAAACCCTGGCAGTCTGCTCCCATAAAGCTCACAGCCTATGGGTCCCTGTGGGACTGTTGCAGTCTGTCACATGGAATCAAGATGAATTAAAAGTTGATTTGACAGCACCTAACAACAACTATTACTTTAATAAATAAGTTCATTATATCCAAGTGTTAATCTATAACCAACTCTTGCCATGAATTGTGTTGAAAGTGCTTATGTAAATATGATTTATGTAAACTTGCCAACAGTTCAGCTGGTATTACCTAGCTGTTGACCTTACCTCATGATACCTTCCTTTTTATCGGAGTGGACGTCACCACTCAAATATATACACACACATCACCTACTTTTAGTTTAAAAAGAAGGTAAAATGTTGTAAATTGAATTTTGTGTTATCGATTCATGAGATGTACGTATAATGCCCATGAGGTAAACCAAGAAAGCTTAATTTTCATTTGACTTTACTCTTCTCAGGCAAATTTTGAAAAGCTTCCCAAATGTTTAAAAAGTTAGCATCATTTTTAGTCTGATGAAGAGAAGACAGTTTTGTTTTAAATTGTAAAATGCTAACATGTTTTAGGAGCCCTGGTTGCACAGTGATTAAAGTGGTCAGCTGAGAATCAAAAGGTCAGTGGTTCGAACTTACCAACTACCCCACAAGAGAAAGATGTGACATTGTTCTTCCGTAAAGATTTACAGTCTTGGAAGCCATACGGGGAGGTTTTACTCTTGTCTGCAGGATCACTGTGAATCACAGTCAATGCAACTGCAGTGACTTTGGGTTTTGGTTTAATGCATGTTTTGAATATGTTTGTAAATTTTTTCTTTTATTCATTTATTCTTGTTTTTTTTTTCTTTAAATGACTCCTTTTTCTCTTTTGTCTCATTAACCTGGTTTGCAGGGCAACCCAGTTGGACAGAGTGGGCTTGGAATGGCGTATCTCTATGGAAGAGGAGTTCAAGTTGTAAGTGTTTGAGCTGGCATCCTCACTTTGAAAGCATTCCGTTCATAGGCAGGGAGGTGTTCCTTAGGTAGCATCCAGTCAGCCTAGGGAAGGCTATTTCATTGTAACCAAAACTGAATCTTTCCCTTTTGACTCTGAGTTTGATTCACTACCACAGTTTCCTCCAGCTGCCTTTTTAGGAGGGCTTCATTTCTGACACCTTCTCCTGAGGGTGTGAAGCTGTTTCTCTAGCTTTTCTCCATCCATCTATGTGTTTTACCCTGTCTCCCCTGCCCATCTCTCCAGGACTTCAGCATCTCCCTTGCTACTTCTTTACTCAAACCTCTCAAAGTGCCTGGGTCTCTCCCATGAAGGAGAGGGACAGCTTTCCATCACCCTTACCCCTTCTAGCTACCAGTTCTCCTCTCCCACCTTCTAGCTACAAGCTCTCTTCTCTGCAACCTTTCACTAGAAGGCCAACCTGCTCCAAAGAACAAACTATATTAGCAGCTACCGGTCACTCTTCAACCCTTAGCCAACCAAGGTTCAATGAGAGAGAAAATAACAAATGCTGGTGGGGATGTGGGGAGATTGGGACTCTCATACACGGCTTGTGTGACTGTGAAGTGACACAACCACTGTAGAGAGCAATATGGCAATTCCTTAGAAAGCTGGAATTGGAGATACCATTTGACCCAGCAACCCCATTACTAGGTAATATCCTAGAGAGGTGAGAGCCAGGATAGGAACAGATACATGCATGCTCATGCTCATCACAGCACTATTTACAATAGCAGAAAGATGGAAATAACCTACATGCCCATCAGCGGAAGAGTGGGTGACCAAACTATGGTACATACACATACTGGAATGCTATGCAGCACTAAAGAATAATGTAGGGTCTGCAGAACACCGCATAATATGGATGAACTTGGAGGACATTATGCTGAGTGAAATAAGTCAGTCACAGAAGGACAATTATAGTATTAGTTCGTTCTTGTGGAGGGTCAAGGAAAGGATTATATATGGAAGGAAACTTTCTTTGTTGGTTGCCAGGTGAGGGAAGGGAAGGGAAGAAAAGCTGTAAAAAAAAAAAAAAAAAAGCATTGACCCATATCACTTTAGTTTTGTGTATTTCACTATATACATAATTATATTTCAATAAAATGCATTTAAAAAAAAAGAACTAACTAATCTTAAAGTTAAGATTCTAACCTACAGGTATTACCTAGCACAAAAAACCTAATGTTACCTCATTTTGAGTCCATCTGGTTATTTTAAGATACTAATTAACTTTTCTCATGGACATACATAATATTTGAGATCTAATAATCAGATAGTATTTGATAAGCCACACAGGAAAGGAGCTAGTGCCTAAGGCACTTGACTGCTAACCAGAAGGCTGGCGGTTCAAACCCACCGGCCACTCCTCAGAAGGAAGATGGGGCAATCTACTTCCGTAGTGATACTGCCTCGGAAACCCGAGGAGGGGTCGCTATGAGTCAGGTCCAACTCAACGGCACATAACAACAACAACATTAGAAAAATTGAGGTTTAAAAGAGATTAGTTGGTTAGTAGAAAAGAAGTGACTGTTTCTTATTTCCTGATCTGTTTCCTACAGTGTTGTTTGTGCTTTGTGAGAGCTCACATACAAATTGTTTCACAAAAACTCTATTTGCTTTTCTTACAGTTTTAAATACAAATCCCTCTATGACTTAAAGTATATTACCATCTCTGTGTTATAAAAAGTAAGAAGGCAGTCTTTTTTTTTTTTTGGTAAAATATGGGTCACAATATGCCAATTCAACATTTTTCACCTACACAATTCAATAAAACGAGTTACATCAGTCATCAGTCACATAATTACATCACCAGCACGCATTGCCATATTTTCCATCCCCATAAACAGAAGCTCTGTGTTGGCTAAACACAAATTCCCCTTTTTCCCCTTCCCTTACACCCCATTAACCACTTTAAACTCTGACCGCTATGCATTTATCCATTCTAAGCATTTCATGTTAGTAAAATCGTACAATATTTTCCTCATGATTGACATTTCACTCAGCACAAGGTTTTCAGTGTGTGGCTTACCTCTGGACTTCTTTAGTCTTTTTAATGTCTCTTTAAGAGGATTTTGTTAATACCTTTTAATGATTGAAATCTCCAAACACATGAGTACATCATCCTTTCAAGCTCTCTGGTCATGTGGCCTCTTTTTCTACAGAATTATGATCTGGCACTGAAGTATTTCCAGAAGGCTGCTGAACAAGGCTGGGTAGATGGGCAGCTACAGCTTGGCTCTATGTACTACAGTAAGTAGCATTGGGATTAATGGACACAGCAAGATTGGAATTAACCTGTTTTTCACTAGATGGCACTGTGATGTAGAAATGGGTGCCATCAGTGTTGACAGAGTACTGTTCTCCCAGTTCAGTGATTGTGCATCTTGTTTTCATTGTAAGTAATAGTTACAAGTCACTATTTCCTGAGGCAGAATGCTGACTTGTATTTAGAGTTTTATTCTTCATGTGTGATGCTTCAGCTAAATCCTATTTAAGACAATTATTGACTTTTCATGTGGATTTTCTTACAGATGGAATTGGAGTCAAGAGAGATTATAAACAGGCCTTGAAATACTTTAATTTAGCCTCTCAGGGAGGCCATATCCTGGCTTTCTATAACCTAGCCCAGATGCACGCCAGCGGCACAGGCGTGATGCGGTCATGTCACACTGCAGTGGAGGTAAGGGCTTTTCTGCCAATGTGATTTGCTCAGGAAGACACCTTCCCTTTGATACTCGTTGGCTGTGCGTGATACTCTCTAGAGCAGAAACAGATTCCGCTGCCTGGGTCCATGTGTCCCTGGGGAAGACTCTGACGGCCCGGGTATGAAGGTGTCTTCCTCTTTAACTCTCATACCTAGCAACTGGAGTGACACTGATAAAGGCTTAGAACACTTTTAAACCTCTCTGCGCTGTAGTTTTCTCACTTTTCAAATGAGTTCTTAATAGGACTTAATAGGGCTATTGAAAGGATTAAATGAGTTAATACAAAAATCACTCGAACACTGTCAGGCATAGAGGAAATCATGTGTAATTGTTTACAGATATTTGTATGAACTTGCCTAAAAGCTAAATGGAAAGTATCAATAAATATATCAAACTTTTGTGGAAATTTATTAAAGCTGCCAGAGATTCAAGAAGCAAGCTTAAGAATCACTTGGAGCTAAAGTGCAAAAATTAATCTCTGGCATCTTTCTACTTCTTACCTTTCACTTATTTATTTTCTTTCCCCTTCTCATAGTTGTTCAAGAATGTTTGTGAACGAGGTCGTTGGTCTGAGAGGCTGATGGCTGCCTATAACAGCTATAAAGATGGCGACTACAATGCCGCAGTGATCCAGTACCTCCTGTTGGCCGAGCAGGGCTACGAAGTGGCACAGAGCAACGCAGCCTTCATTCTTGATCAAAGTGAGGTTCATTTTAGTTCTGCCTTAGATTGAGAGGTTAACCTGTTTGAAGGAAAAGCCACAAAGAAACATTTTTTATTGTTGCAAATAAACTTAACAGCACCACACACAATTCAGTTACTTTTTCCTCAGATCTCTAAGCCATTAAGCTTAGTGTTAAGATTAGAGTTGACAGTAGAAATAGATTTGACATTCATCGTAAAATTAACTGCTTTCAGTAAATATAATTTGCAAAATACAGTGGGTAAGAAAACATTGTTTTTTCAGTGATATATGTTGTTGTTGTTATGGTTTCCGAGGCAGTATCACTACAGAAGTAGATTGCCCAACATTCCTTCCGAGGAGTGGCTGGTGGATTTGAACCGCCAGCCTTCTGGTTAGCAGTCAAGTGCCTTAGGCAGTATGCTACCAGAGCTCCGGTGATATATAGCTGCCTAGAAATGGCTCAGTAGTCAGTATCATTGGTTCTGTAGAATAAAGCATGTTTCAGGAAATAGTGCTGTCCTGAATCCATCGATTCCTTTGAGCTCAGTGTCTTCTTATTGTGTACTTGTTAAATGTCAGTACTTGTTTACTTGTTATTTCCAATTCTTGTTTCAATTATGGCCCGTATAGCCACCCTAGTTTGCACAGGAAGCCTAAAAATCTAGTGTGTTTCCTTAAATGCCCGATTTGTGTTTTCTTTCTTTATAGGAGAGGCAACTATTGTAGGTGAGAATGAAACTTACCCCAGAGCTTTGCTGCATTGGAACAGGGCCGCCTCTCAAGGTGAGTTGTTAATTCCAGATTAACAGCTGGGACCTCTCTGTATTGCTTTTTGTCTCCCATAAAGACTAAATCATGTCATTCATTACCTTGAAATTAATACTGTTGCCTAACTAATTTGCATTATAACTGATACTACCCTTGAAATGGAAATTTTGGTCTTACAGTTTCTAAGTTGAATTGCAGAGACCTTCTTCTGGACATTTACATTACACTATGGTTCATTCTTTGGTTTTCTTTTGAAGCTTATACAGTGTAAAAATGAGTATTGAGTAGACTATTTAATATAATATTGGCCTAAAACCCAAAAGAACTCTAACCTTTCCCCAGTCCTTTTCTTTTGAATATATTTTTCTCACACATACTCCTCTCAGCATTAACATCGGCTGGTCTCTTCTCCAAGCTGAACTGTTTTAAAATGTGAAAGACATGATGGAACCAAAGAATGATCATTTAAAGAGCATTCTTAGTGAAATAAGGAGCCCTGATTGGGCAGTCTACTTCTGTAGATACACCGCCTCGGAAAGCCAAGAAAGGGTAGCTATGAGTCAAATCGACTCAACGGCAGTGAGTTTGGCTTTTGGTTTTTTTGTTTGTTTGTTTGGGTTTTTGGTGGCACAGTGGTTAAGCGCTCCACCTCACTCAAAGGCAAGGGTTGGTGACACAGTTGTTAATGTACTCTAGTGCTAGCCAAAAGGTCAGCGGTTGGAACCCACCAGCCACTCCATGGAATGAAGCTGTGGCATTTTGCTTCCGTAAAGATGACAGCCTTGGAAGCCTTCTGGGGCAGTCCTGCTGTGTCCTACAGGGTCACTATGACTCAGAATCAACTTAACAGCAATGGGTTTTTGGTTTTTTTAGTGAAATGGGGAGATCACCCAGCTACTTTTACCTCTCCCTGATTGCTACAAAGCCCTCTGTAAAAGAGCTACACTTTTAGTTTAAATTTTCACTGATTTGATAGTGTATCTGAGGGGTTTGTTATAGTTATATACTAAAAACTTAAGTTCTTTGTTTTATGTAAGCATATTGGTAGGTGGAGAGATAACAATGTAATCTTATTTAACTTTTGTTTCAGGCTATACTGTGGCTAGAATTAAGCTTGGCGACTACCATTTCTATGGATTCGGCACTGATGTTGACTATGAGACTGCATTTATTCACTATCGTCTGGCATCTGAGCAACAGCACAGTGCACAAGCTATGTTTAATCTGGGATATATGCATGAGAAAGGACTGGGCATTAAACAGGTGAGTGTGACTTCAAAACAAATACTGTTTAACTGTGATTTGGGATAAGTGTCTGCAAAAGACCTCTTTAAAGTATTAAAGAGCAAAGATGTACTTTGAAGATTAAGGTGCGCCTCACCCAAGCCGTGGTATTTTCAGTCACCTCCTGTGCATGTGAGAGCTGGACAATGAATAAGGAAGACTGAAGAAGAGTTGATTCTCTTGAGTTGTGGCATTGGCAAAGAATACTGAAAGTACCATGGACTGCCCAAAGAACTAACAAATCTGTCCTGGAAGAAGTGCAGCTGGAATGTTCCTGAAAAGGAGGAATGGCCAGTCTTCGTCTCACCTACTTTGGTCATGTTGTCAGAAGGGACCATCCCCTGGAGAAGGATATCGTGCTTGGTAAACTGGAGGGTCAGCAAACAAGGGGAAGACCTTCAACGAGATGCACTGACGCAGTGGCTGCCAGAACAGGCTCAAGTACAGCAAGGATTATTAGGAGCGCACAGGGCTGGGCAGTCTTTCGTTCTTTTATACACGGGGTCTCTGTGAGTCAGCATCAAGTCGATGGCACCTAACAAAAACAATAACAGTCTGCATTTTTATTGAAAATAGACTGTCTTTGGAACTTGCTCACATTTTAGGCCAGTGAGTCATGAGATGGTTTTACAGTATTAAGGAAGACTACCATTCTGTCTCTCATCTTCCAGCACACACATATTTCAATACCCATACCACCATATTTAGATAAGCCAACAGCAGACTCAGGGAGTGCAGTACTACTTCTTTGCCGGTTTGAGAAACTACCTACCCATCTCCAGCCAAATTCTATTGTTTCTAAATTATTTTGAGAATGAACAAAGGTGTTCGCTACTAATAAACTTATTTCTGATTTTTAACCTTCATAATGAAGCTAATATTCTTTAAATTTCTGATCTAAAATTTGACCTGCGTACTTTCAAAAGAATTTTGAGAAACAATGTACTCCTGTGCATGTTTTTAAGTTGCTATTTAAATTTTTTCATCATAAATTTCAAAGGATCTAATTCCAGTGTATTTTAAATATTAAGATATCTTTAAATAAATGACTAAATTACCCTTAAATATGTCCCATGGAATCTAAGTATACCAAAATAATTTGATACCCATCATTTTTAATTTGTAAAAAATACATGAGCAAGTTTTTAATTTCAAATGGTATCTTTTCCTTTTCTCCCTGAACTTATATTTCTAGTCTACCATTCCCACAGAATTGTATACTAACATAATGTTTTTAATGCTTAATGATTACTCTGTTATGTTTCTCTAAAACCAAAAAGTTTATACCTTCAAATTTTGAATCTTATATTCTGTGATTATAAGACTTTAAGTGTTAATTGAGCATAGTTGATCAATTATTAATATGGTTGATCAAATCAACATAATGGTATAAATTTTGATAAAATTTTACTTTTTATATTAATTATTGAAAATACATCTTTTCATGACATGTGGAGCATTTAAAAAAAAAAAAAAAGCAGTTGATGGCTTATGAGTAGATTTAGCCTTAATTCTGTTTTTCTCATTTTTATAGATGTATGACTGGGACCTTGTTCACAAGCTCACTCACTTCTTAAATTTCTTTACAGTTCAAAGCCAAAAATCAGAGCGATCTGTCATTAAAAATTATTTGTAATCTATAAGTGGACAACTTGCCTAGAACCCTCTTGCAATATTTTTTGTTTGTTTTTATTTATTGTGATTTGGGTGTCCTGCTTCAGTTTTATTGAATGCAAAGTATTGGAAACACAGACATGCAGAAGAATCTGTTCCTTTATCCTAATGACTGAGGTTCCCAGTTTCTGGGAAAGATACTGACAGGTTTTACCAAGGCTTAACAAATGACTCAACCTCTTTCTCACTTAGAGGCACCTATGTGCCCAAGGGATAAGGGAAACGTGTTAATTTCATTATGCTTTGCTAATGCACTGTTTCCACCACTCATCTCTCAGTTTGTCCTACTGTGGTGGCTTGTGTGTTGCTTTGAGACTGGAGGCTATGCCACCAGTATTTCAAATACCAGCAGGGTCACCCAAGGTGGACAGTTTTCAGCAGAGCTTCTAGACTAAGACAGACTCTGAAGAAGGAAGGGGGTATCCACTTCTCAAAGAATTGGCCAGTGAAAACCTTATGAATAGCAGTGAAACACTACCTGATAATATTACTGGAAAACTTTATGAATAGCCCTGAAACAGTGTCTGATACATTGGTAGAAGAGGAGACCGTCAGATTGGAAGGTACTCAAAATACAACTGCAGAACTCCCTCCTCAGAGTAGATCTAGACTTAATGATGTGAATGGAGTAAAGCTTTTGGGACCTCTATTTGCTGATGTGACACAACTCAAAATGGGAAGAAACAGCTGCAAACATCCATTAATAATCAGAACGTGAAATATGTGAAGTATGAATCTAGGAAAATTGGAAGTTGTCAAAAATGTAACA